TGATTTATTGTAGAGATGAGGTCTCACCAAGTTGCCCAGGTGGGTCTCGAACCCGCGGGCTCCGGCAATCCACTCACCTAAGCCTCCCAAGGTGCGGGATTACAGGCTGAGCCACCGAGCCTGGCTAGGTTTGAGTTTTTATAGTGATCTTCAGGTATGTTACTTTATGTCTTGACCAACACCTTGAGAAACTGGAGTAAGAATTGTTTGCTTAGCATTGTATTATAGCAGTAATTCTCAATCCTACTGTACTTTGAAATCATTTGGGCCAGGCACAATGGCTCATGCCTGCAATCTTAGCACTTTGGGAGGCTGAGGTGAGAGGCTTGCTTGAGCCCAGGAGCTCGAGACCAGCATAGGCAACATGGTGTGTTCGTGTCTCTAAAAAAAAAAAACAAAAAACAAAAAAAAAACAAATTAGCTGGGCATGGTGAGATGTGCCTGTAGTTCCAGCTACTTGGGAGGCTGAGGCAAAAGGATCACCAGAGCCCAAAAGATCAAGACTGCAGTGAGTTGTGATCGTGCCACTGCCCTGCAGCCTGGCTGACAGAGTGAGACTTGACTCAAAAAACAAAATAGAATAAAATAAAACAAATCATTGGGGAACTTAATACATGACAGCAACAAAAGTTATGGTGATAATGCTGGGGTCTGCAAGACAAAATGCGGTGGTTATCCTTGGAATTGGAATTTGAGCATTATGTGTGTTTGTGTATATGTGCATACATGCACATTTATGTATTATGTGTGAGTAGACTTAGGAGGCCCTATGCTAAGTGTCATCTAGAGCAAGGCAGTAGTCACTGACTCAGTGATTTCATTGTGTGGTAAAGCACACAGAAAGTGCTTTTGACAAAACTAGCTGATGCATGATAGAGGTTATGTAGGAAGACAGAGGAGGAGGGGCATCATTGGAAAGCCTTCACTGAACAGGTGGGCTTGAGCTGGGTTTTGTCAGATTGGTAGCAAACTAAGAGAGATTGCTTGAACAAAGAATCCAGAGCAGTGATAAAATCACCTTAGCACAACTCTACCAATAGGAGTCTATTCTGTGATTTATGAGTCACAACTCACAACTGCTGACAACCTAATGTTTTGCTCATAATGGAAAAGTTTGGGTCTCCTTACAGCTGGGATATCCCTGCTTTTGCATATTGATAAATAATTATTTAATATACTCTCTTGTGGGAATGCAAAGTATTCCTGTTTTTAACTTTAGATCAATTTGAAATGCTATTTTTTTTTACAAAGAACTTATCTTTCAGAAATATGTTGGTATATAAAAATGCAGTTGATCTTTCATTGTATTTCCTAGTCATAAGCTTTTATTCTTTTTGGATCTTGATGGGGGCAGATATGCTTATTTATGAAGCATATTTGGTGTTCTTAGTCATCTAGACCAGTGGTCTTCAACCTTTTTGGCATCATCACTGGTTTCATGGAAGACAATTTTTCCACGGGCCATGGGTTGGAGGGGATGGAATGATTTTAGGATGATTCGAGTGTATTACATTTATTGTGCCGATCAGCAGCAGCATTAGATTCTCGTAAGGAGTGAACAACCTAGATCTCTTGCAAGTAAGTGCAATTCACAATAGGGTTCACTCTTCTATGAGAATTTATTACTGCTGCTGATCTTTGACAGGAGGCGGAGCAGCTATAAACGCAAATGAAACTTCACTTGCTTGTCTGCTGCTCACCTCTCGCTGTTTGGCCTGGGATTGGGACCCCTGATCTAGACAATTTGAAGTGAGCATGGTGATTGGTATCTAGGGTACTTGCCCAACCTCAACTACCTGTGCATTTCAGTGTCTGATTTTGGCATATTTTAACTGCTTATGTTAAGTTCTATTTACCTATATTTGATCTTCCAGAGTGACTTCAAAGCTGCTCTCTTGTGTAACCAAACATATTTTAATCATTATAGATGGTGACTGTGGTTTACAGTTATGTTTTTGTTTGTCAAGGATATCTTTGTCATTTACTTCATGGTTTTCCTCTTAAGTTTTTAAAAAAGTAGTATTTAGGCTGGGCACAGTGGCTCATGCCTGTAATCCCAGCACTTTGGGGGCCTAGGTGGGAGGATCGCTTGAATCCAGGAGTTCACAGCCTGGACAACATAGTGAGACCTTGTCATAAAGATAATTTTTAAAAAAAATTTTAAAAGTAGTATTTAAGTGTGAACTTGTGGCATCACTTTTTTTTTTTTTTTTTTAAAGAAAATAAGTTTCTTCAAATTTACAGCAGATGTTCTCCTTCCTTTTAATCTGTTATGTTAGAATGAGGAAGGTTGCCTGGATTTATTCTGTCCTTATTGCGTAATAATATTTTCATGTCATATTTTCTAAGGTGAATCTTACTAATTCATATGTTTTAGGTTATAGATTTTTAAATAGTTGTGAAAGTATGCAGTGTGTTTGAAAGCCTGGAGTAGAAATTCTGTATTGCTGAGGATTTGTTCTTTTATCTTCCTTTAAAGTCATCCATCCTTGGCTCAGGATTTGGAGAGCTTGCATCATCAAAAATGGCAAACATCACCAGCTCCCAGATTTTGGACCAGTTGAAAGCTCCAAGTTTGGGCCAGTTTACCACCACCCCAAGTTCACAGCAGAATAGTACGAGTCCCCCTACAACTACTACTTCTTGGGACCTCAAGCCCTCAGCATCCCAGTCCTCAGTCCTCAGTCATTTTGGCAAGTATACATTTTCTATGTGGTTTGCCCCTACTGAGGACTTACTAAACATTAGCAGAGTGTATTGACTTGTGAACACTAATGTGGAACTTGTTCCAAGGTGTTTCTTTTTAGAGTTTCTTGCAGAGTTTCTGAATTAAACTAGCCTTCCTTTTTTTGTATAATATCTGCATTTATTTGTTTGTTGATACCATTGTTGTTAGTACTAGAAGTGATAGTACATACTTGGAAGAGCTGTTCTAAAGTATGCAAATATGAGTACCTAACGCTTTGAGTAAACTCTGAGCTCTAATTAGAATAGGATGGTGACAGAACATGGAATGTAGACACTAGTTTAAAACCGAAAACCTTTTTTTCGAGACAGGGCATCACTATGTTGCCTAGGCTAGTCTAAAACTCCTGGGCTCAAGTGATCCTCCCAGCTTAGTCTCCTGAGTAGCTGGGACTACAGGCAGATGCCACCACATCTGACTTGGACAATATTTTAAACCAGACATTCTATGATGCTTTCTCATTCTACCATTTGCATGTGTCCACCATGATTTGGTCAAGCTTTGCCTTCTGTGGCACCATGTATAATGTGAATGTTTTGTAAACTTCCACAGAAATTGTGACATTAATCCATCATTCTCTACCAGCATTCACATGCCACATTGTATTAAGGAATAGCAGTGGGTTACTTTATCATAGAATTGACTGTGTGGCCTGGTTTATGTTTAGGGCATATTGAGAAGACAGGGAAGCGCATGTCTCTGCTCAGTGAAATGGCTTATTGTGTTAGAAGTACCTGAGACCATACCCAGGTTTGAAGTGATACAGACTACCAAGGAAACTCATTAGAAACTCAGTGCCCACGGTTTTGAATGGGACAGGATACATAGGCTCTCTGCTTGGCACATAACAAAATTACAACTTCCCAGAAGAAAAGTAGATGTTAAGCATAAAACACAGTTTTTGTTGTTGTTTTTGTTTTCGAGTTGGAATCTCACTCTGTCACCTAGGCTGGCACATTCAAGGCCATCATATCCTTGACCTGCTGGACTCAGGCAATCTTTCCACTTCAGCCTTCCAAGTAGCTAGAACCACAGGTATGTGCTGCCACATCCAGCTAATTTTTTTTTTTGAGTTGGTATCTCACTCTGTCGACCAGGCTGGAGTGCAGTGGCATGCTTATGGCCACTACAGCCTCAACCTGCTGGACTCAGGCTATCCTTCCGCCTTAGCCTTCCAAGTAGCTGGAACTACAGGTGCATGCTACCATGCCCAGCTGATTATTTTTTGATTTATTGTAGATTCAAGATTTCATGAAATTGTTCAGAAGGCTGGTCTTGAACTCCTGAACTCAGGCAATCCTTTTGCCTCAGCCTTCCAAAGTGCCGGGATTACAGGTGTGAGACACCGCACCCAGCCAAGCCAACCCTTTATAGTACATGCCTCTCATACCAGATTTTAAAAATGAATTCATCTAAAGTGGCTCTCCTGCCTGTTTTTAAAAAACTTAAGTTCTTTTGAAATTTAGACAAAGTAGCCAAAACCTGACTGCATTCATGCTCCAAAGGCAGAGTGGAGCAGTTGCTGATAGGTGGTCTTCAAAGGCTAAAATAGATACCATCTGACCCTATACAGAAGAAGATTGCCAACCTCTGTCCTATATGATACAGAAGGCATTTCAAATCACTGGTGAAAAAATAGTTTACTGAAATTAGGCATCTGGTTTAAAGAGGAAGTGCCAGATGGGTCAAATTGTTAAACAGTGAATCTAGAACAGTGGTAGGCAAAACATAGGAGGATTTTTATGTATTCTGTATGAAAGAGACCTTTCTAGGTATGACAGAAAACACTATAACCAAACTAAAAGGCAGATTAATCATGAAGACAAATTTGAAATTTCTAGACAAAAGAGTCAGTTGCCTTATTATAAAAGAAGTAACTAAGATTAAAGCGTTTCAACAATCAGGTAAAAAAAATGGCCAAAGAGGTGTGAACAGAGTCCATAGGTAAGAAACATGAAAGTATATGAAATGATCCTTAAGCACATTTATATCATTTTAGTTTGCATTTCCTATATACCATTTCCTACCAATCAAACCAAGTAAGATAAAAGTTTGGTATTAGCCGGGCTCGGTGGCTCAGCCTGTAATCCCGCGCTTTGGGAGGCTGAGAGTGGATTGCCTGAGCTCGTGGGTTCGAGACCCGCCTGGGCAACTTGGCGAGACCTCATCTCCACAAGAAATCAAAAATTAGCTGGGCGTGGTAGCATGCGCCTGTAATTCTGGCTGCTCGGAAGGCTGAGGCAGAAGGATCGCCGGAGCCCAGCAGGTCGAGGCTGTGGTGGCCAGAAGCGGCCACTGCACTCCAGTCTGGGCGACAGAGTGAGACTCCAACTCAAAAAAAAAAAAAAAGTTTGGTATTACAGTATGTTTAAAAGTGTGTTCTATCTATGGATAGCAATTTTAGAGTATTTGTCAAATTTTAAGATATGTTTACTCTATCAACCAGCAATTCTATGTCAGCAATTAATCCTACAAATATATTTTCATTTGAACAAGATGTCTTGATACAAATATATTCATCACCATATTGTTTTATATAGCAAGAGATTGGAAAACCTCAAAGTCTGTTAATATTGTACTGGTTTTATAAAATGATACCTGTGTACACTGGATTTCTATGTAGTCTTAAAAATGAGTCTGAAGTAGCTCTTTGCACATAAATATGAAATAGTCTCTGAAAATTAAGTGGTCTGTGAGAAAATATGGTCTATTGCGTGTACGTTTGTGTGTATGTTTATCTGTATTTTGATACAATGTCTGAGGATAATATGGTGTTTGGTTTTATAGAGCAGGTATGGGGACAGAGGTGGAAAGGAGATTTTGTATCTTTTGGAATTTTTGTTATCACATATATCACTTGGAAATCTTAATAAAATAATTTTTTAAAGTTATGTTCAAAATCCATAAAGTAATAGAAATATACTTCTCTGTTAGGAAATTGCTAGGTGTGTATAGCACCTTAATACTGTTCTTAACAAGTTATTCACCCCATAGGCTTTAATATAAACCACATCCTTCTTCATAGGAAACAAGATACAGACTTATTTGGTCATACTTTTCCATTTGTCAAAACCAGATTATATACATATTTTATATATAAATATATCAGGGAGACCCAAACTTCTCCTGTACGATGACCACTTATGTACCTAACTCTGAATTGTACCCCACATCTTTAAAATAAAATAAATACATAAGTATATAAATAATTCAGTTAGAAGGTGATGTAGAGAAACTGGTGGTGATGGAGAAGGTGATGTAGAGAAACTGGTGGTGATGGAACCCTTCATGCCCAATAACAGTGGAAGAGGGAGTTCAAAGCCAATGTGTTTAAATAATTAATTGCTGCTTACCTCTTTTGTTATTTATTATATTTATTTTTAATTCTGTTATATTTCTTTTTATATTTCATAGACTTCAAATCTCAACCTGAGCCATCCCCAGTTCTTAGCCAGTTGAGCCAGCGACAGCAGCACCAGACACAGACAGTCACTGTTCCTCCTCCTGGTTTGGGGTCCTTTCCTTCCCAGGCAAAACTACGAGAATCAACACCTGGAGACAGTACCTCCACTGTGAACAAACTGTTGCAGCTTCCCAGCATGACTGTTGAAAATACTGCTGTATCTGGTCACCAGCCACAGCCCAAACACATCAAACTTTCTAAGCGGCGGATGCCTCCAGCCTCTAAGGTGAGCATTCCATCATGTCACAGCCTTAAAGTGGATTTATTTTAACGTTTATCTAAAGTAGTGGGATATTAAGCTTCAGAAACTGATACAGTATTTTTGAAGCACATAGCTTATTGTTTTATGATAATTTGACCATTTCTGAGCAACTAGACTGATATTAAAGAGAATGAGAGCTGGGCGTGGTGGCTCACACCTATAATCCCAGCACCTTGGGAGGCAGAGGCGAGAGGATTATTTGAACTCAGAGGCTCGAGACCAGCCTGGGCAACATGGAGAGACCTTGTCTCTACAATAAATCAAAAACTCAACTGGACATGGTGGCACATGTCTGTGGTTCCAGCTGCCTGGAAAGCTGAGGCGGAAAGATCACCTGAGTCCAGCAGGGCGAGGCTGTAGTGGCTGTGAACGTGCCACTGTCTAGCCTGGGCGACAGAGTGAGACTCTAACTAAAAAAAGAGAGAGAGAGAAATGAGTTTGTGCTGAGAGCCAGAGACTCTTAATTCAAACACAAATTTGAGGAACTGGTTCAAAAAAATCTGTTGTTCTTGTGTATTTTGCTATATCCCACAGTTGGAAGATACATGGGTCCTTGACCAGGTAATGCTTTTCATCATTGGTGAGTCCCTGAAAATAGTCAGCTCAGTGCTCACTTTCCTTCCTTATCCACCTATCGCAACTCCACCCCCATTGCTCTAAGAAGCAAGGTGGTGGCGTTAACACTGTCCATTCTCCCTGTTAACTTTTAATTTTTCTTTGCTCTTCTTGCTTCACTCTCCTTTTTTTTTGAGTTGGAGTCTCAGTCCTTTGCCTAGGCTGGAGTGCAGCAGGATGCAAGCTCATGGCCACCCCAGCATTGACCTGCTGGGCTGCGGTGATCCTTCTGCCTCTGAGTAGCAGGAACTACAGATGCGTGCTACCACGCCCAGCTATTTTTAATTTTATTGTAGAGACGAGGTCTTGCCAAGTTGCCTGGGCTGGTCTAGAACCCGTGGACTCAGGCAGTCCACTCGCCTTGGCCTCCCAAAGTGCTGGGATTACAGGCTGAGCTACCGAGCCCAGCCCACTCTCTTTTTAATTAAAACATTTTATTCCTTTTTTTTCTTTCTGTCTGTCTCTCACTCCTTGTTCCTGCCAGTATTGCCTGGGAACCTAAGTGATTGTTTGGCTGTTTTAGGCCTTTGTGACTTGGAGTCCCTGACCTCTGTTCCTGACGTGACAGCTTTGCTTTTTTAGATCCCAGCTTCTGCGGTGGAAATGCCTGGTTCAGCAGATGTCACAGGATTAAATGTACAGTTTGGGGCTCTGGAATTTGGATCAGAACCCTCTGTCTCTGAATTTGGATCAGCTCCAAGCAGTGAAAATAGCAGTCAGATTCCCATCAGCTTGTATTCAAAGTCTTTAAGGTATACAACTTCCCACTTTTGGTATTTACTGAATTTAGTCCTTTGTAACAAAACAAAACAGAGCCTAAGAAATAACCTGGTAGAAACACTACATCCTGTGGTAATAGGTTTGTGCAGTAATCACCAATGTTTAATTCCAAACCTATTCTTTTATCCCTAAAAGAAACCCCATACATGTAGCAGACACTCCCAGTTTCTTCTTTCCACTTTTTCTTGGCAACCAATAACCTGTCTCTGGACTTGCCTATCCTTACATTTCTTTCTTTCTTTTTTTTTTTTTTTTTTGAGTTGGAGTTTTACTCCGTCACACAGACTGGAGTGCAGTGGCCGCTCCCGGCCACCGCAGCCTTGACCCATTGGGCTCCTGCGATCCTTCGCCTTAGCCTTCCGAGTAGCCAGAATTACAGGCGTGTGCTACCACACCTGGCTGATTTTTTGATTTATTGTAGACATGAGGTCTCGCCAAGTTGCGCAGGCGGGTCTTGAATCCGTGGGCTCAGGCAATCCACTTACCTCAGCCTCCCAAAGGCGCAGGATTACAGACTGAGCCACCGAGCCCGGCGCCTTACATTTCATATAACTATAATCATGCAATATGTGGCCTTTTGTGTCTGACTTTCTTCACTCAGCATAAGGTTTTGTTGTTGTTATTGTTGTTTTGTTTTTGTTTTTTGAGTCTCACTCTGTTACCCAGGCTGGAGTGCAGTGGGATGCTTATGACAACCATGCCTCTACCTGCTGGGTTCAGGTGATCTTCTGCCTCAGCCTTCCAAGTAACTGGAACTACAGGCGTGTGCCACCTAATTTTTTGATTAGAGATGAGGTCTCACCAAAGTTGCCCAGGCTGGTCTCAAACCCCTGGACTCAGGCAGTCCTTTCTCCGCTGCCTCCCAAAGTGCTGGGGTTACCATACCTGGATAGCATAAGGTTTTCAAGCTGCATCCATGTTTCATGTATTATTTTATTGCCAGATATTTCATTATACTGATAATACCACATTTTGTTTATCCATCCTTTAGTTGGTAGACATTTGGGTTGTTCCTCTTTTTGTCAATTATACTGCTGAAATTTGGTTTCATGTTTTGTGTGTTTTTAGTTATTTTGGATATACATATAGGAGTAGAATTGCTGGGTTATATGGTAACTCTTAATCATCTGAGGAAACACCAAACTGCCAGGGGAGAGGGAGTGGGGTTGGCAGTTGAGGGAAACTGCTGGGGTGGGGAGGGGCATACCTCATCAACAAGGGCACCTGCATAATGAACATTTGTATACCTAACCCTGAATTGTATCCCACATCTTTAAAATAAAGATAAAAATCAAAAAATAAGCAAATAAATTAAAAAAATTTTTTTTAAAATCTTAATCTTCAAGATGTTCCCCTGTCAAGTAAATTAGTTGGGTCTCATTTGGAGGTATGGTGGGAATTGCTCTGTAATAGAGTTAAAGAATGTGGTAGTATAAATTTGTAGTTACATGCTTATTTAATATAATATGTTTGTTATCTGATCTCTTTTATTGTTTTTAGTGAGTCTTTGAATGCCTCCTTGCCAATGACCAGTGCAGTACAGAACTCTACCTATACGACTTCAGTCATTACCTCCTCCAGTCTGACCAGCTCATCCTTGAGTTCCACTAGTCCAGTAACATTATCTTCCTCCTATGACCAGAGTTCTGTGCATAACAGGATTGCATATCAAAGCTCTGGGAGTCCATCAGAGTCAGCTCAAGGAACTATCATGGTAAATGGTGTTTCTGGTTTCTTCTTGTAGGATACCTATCTTATTTGAAAGTTACTGTTTGGCTTGGTAAATTATGCTTTTTGGATAAGATTTGATTTTTTACAAATTGGCTAACCTCAGCCAGGCTCAGTGGCTCAGCCTGTAATCCCGCGCCTTTGGGAGGCTGAGGTGAGTGGATTGCCTGAGCCTGAGGGTTCGAGACCTGCCTGGGCAACTTGGCAAGACCTCATCTCTACAATAAATCAAAAAAAAAATTAGCCGGGCGTGGTAGACTGCACCTGTAGTTCCAGCTACTTGGAAGGCTGAGGCGGAAGGATCACCGGAGCCCAGCAGGTCGAGGCTGCGGTGGCCGGGAGTGGTCACTGCCCTCCAGTCTGGGTGAAAGAGTGAGACTCCAACTCAAAAACAAAAACAAATTGGCTAACCTTTTGCGTACCTTGAGTTCATTGAGTTTGGTTATAGTGGGTGTCTCTAGCATCCACTCACTTGACTGTGTGGATGGATCCACTAAAGCATAAATCAGACAATATGCTGTCAGTCCCCATCATCTCCAGGACATCTCAATTCCTGTCCCAACCTGACTTCCCACTCTGCTTTTGCACATTACTGCTCATCTTATTCCTTGTTCAGCTCATTGATCTTGATTTCTCCTGCAGATTTTGATCTCTCTTGACTTTTTGAATATGTCTTTGCTTTTGCTTCTGCCACTCTTTTACCTAGAATTTCTCCCAGCACAAATAATATAGCCCCTCTGATGTATCCGTTTGTCTATCTAATTTGTGCTTTGAAAATTCTTTTCTTGTTTTTTTTTTTTGAGTCGGAATCTCACTCTGTTGCAGGCTGGTGGGCAGTGGCATGCTCTTGGCCACTGCAGACTCAACCTGCTGGGCTGTTGATCCTTCTGCCTCAGCCTTTCAAGTTGCTGGAACTATGGACGTGCGCCACCACGCCTGGTTTATTTTTTGATTTATTGTAGAGATTGAGGTCTCGCCAAGTTGCCTAGGTTGGTCTCGAACCCGTGGGCTCAGGCAGTCCTCTCACCTCGGCCTCCCAAAGTGCTGGGATTATAGGTGTGAGCCACCCCACCCGGCCTCTGAAAATGATTTTCAAGATGAAAGGAAATATTCCTCAGGTCTGATGACTGCTGTTTCCTGTTTCCCTTTTCTGTGCTTTTTGTCTGGCGCCTGTCAGGGTTTGTGCTGTTTAGGATGCCCAGGCTCGCCGGGCATAATGGCTCAAGCCTGTAATCCCAGCACTTTGGGAGGCCCAGGCGAGAGGATTGCCTGAGCTTATGGGTTCGAGACCAGCCAGAGCAACATGGTGAGACCCCATCTCTACAATAACTAAAAAAAAAAAAAAAAATATCGGGTGTGGTGGCACATGCTTGTGGTAACAACTACCTGGAAGGCCGTGGTGGAAGGATCACCTGAGCCCAGCAGGTCTAGATTGCGGTGACTGTGAGCATGCCACTGCACTACAGCCTGAGCGACAGAGTGATACTCCAACTCAAAAAAAAAAAAGGAATTAAAAAAAAAAGAGGATGCCCATTCTTGTGTCACATAAATATATTTAGTAGGGAATGAACCTTAGTCTAGGATGAGGCAAGAGACTAGAACTTTGATTCCTCTCCACCTATTTATGTATAATTGATGAGGTAAGGTGTATGCCTCTTTTTTTTTTTTTTTTTTTGAGTTGGAGTCTCACTCCGTTGCCCAGGTTGGAGTACAGTGGAGTGCAGTGGCATGCTCACAGCCACCGCAACCTCAACCTTCCGCCTCAGCCTTCCAAGTAGTTGGAACCACAGGCACACAACACCATGCCTGGCTTTATTTTTTGATTGAGGGTTCACCAAATTGCCCAGGCCAGTCTCAAACCCCTGAGCTCAGGCAATCCTCTCGCCTTGGCCTCCCAAAGTGCTGGGATCATAGGCTTGATCCACCACGCCCGGCCAACCCCACATCTTTAAAATAAAAATTTAAAAAATAAAATAAAATAAAACAGATCACTGTTTCTTGATTTAATCTATACTTTATATGGTTGCTGAATCCCAGTAGAAAGTCATCTAGGTAATCATTTGATTTTGGTGGGTTTACTTACTTTCTCTTTTATTCCTTATAGAATGGACATGGTGTTGGTCGAAGTCAGCAGACACTAGACAGTAAGTATATCAGCTAACTCCTCTTGTCATGGCTGGTGAAAACCAAACAGAAAGAGTGTAGCTAATGTGATGTGGAAAACACCACTTGATCAATGGGTAATTCACCCAAAACCAGGCGTCTTGCATTTTTTCTGATAACTACTTCTACTCCATCGTAGGAACAGAGCAAAATCAATTTTGTTGGTTAAGCAAAACCAGCTTTTGTTTCTTTGGCAGGGTTAAGAAGGTCCACTAGAAGTTCCCATGTGACAAGGTGGTAGCTGGTGGCATCATTAGAAATGTCACAGCTGCAGCACGAAGAAGGTGACAGTCTCAGCTTCTGCCCTAATAAGACTGCACCCCCAGTGCAGTATATAGGCAGTGTATAGTATGTACATGTTTATGTATGTATTTATTTTTTGAAAGCAAGATTTATTGAGAGGACAGAAAAGCTCCTAGAGCAGGAGGGGGACCCAAGGGGGTTGCCCTGTAGTGTGTATTTAAAAGATGTTTGCTCAGAGACACAGATTTCAAGTTGGTGAAAGAGCTGTCACATCAATAATATGAAGGACTTTTAAAGCAAAGAACTGCTATTCTCATTCAGAAAAGTCATGCTTATTGTCTTCAGAATCTGAAGGACTGTTGCTTGGGAAGAGAGATGAAGTGTTGTTCACTGGTCATTTGGGAGAAAATGAGCCCTTTCCTCCCTTCAACATCTCAGTGACCATTGAAGATAGCGCAGGTGAATTCCTGTTAGTTATTTCTTCCCTGTGCTTGGCTAGCTCGTCTGCAATTGTTTAGAGTAGCTTGCTCTCTTCATTCAAGAAAGTAAAGGGAGGTAGAAGCCAGAAAAACTCTTTTTTTTTTTTAAATTAGAATTTTTTGGGAGTGTGGATATGGAACTTAACAGACCAGAGTCGAACCTCAGTTGAAATTGCAACAGATTTGGCGCACTGGGATTTGGTTTTGGTGTTGGTGGCATTGATGTAGGATTGCTGGGGCTATTATTTAGAGATAGCCACTAATGTTGGCCACTCTGAGCTTGCTGAATGACAGAGGTACTTCTCAGTTGAGCAGCATTTGGTGACAAGGTTCTTTTTTCTAGGCATAGGGTTGACAATAGAAGTATCTGGAAAACACAGCATGCATCTAACATGGGTCTTCCTTCCTCCCTTCCTCCCTTCCCTGTTGGAGGAGTCTCACTCTTGTCACCCAGACTGCGGTACAGTGGCGCTCTCCCGGCCACTGCAGCCTCGACCTGCTGGACTTAGGTGATCCTTCTACCTCAGCTGGAACTACAGACGCATGCCGCCACACCCGGCTAGTTTTTTTTTTTAATTTATTTATTGTAAAGACAGGGTCTCACTAAGTTGTCCAGGCTGGTCCCGAACCCCCAGGCTCAGGCAGTCCACTTGCTTCAGCCTCCCAGAGTGCTGGGATTACAGGCTGAGCCACCACACCCAGCCAGTTTTTATCTCTTATACTCTCTTCTCTACCACTCCCACCTCCCCTCCCCATTTCTTTTCCTTTGAGAAAGAAGCTTGCTGTGAACCTGTTGTCATTGGATACAAGTCCCAGGGAGGTACTTTTTGGGGTCTTAGTTTTTGGTGAGGTACGTCTGTCTTCATCTGGCTTCTCTAAGAACAGGTTTTATATTTCAAATAGACTGTCAATAAAAACAAAAAACATGTAATGGCCTCTAGGGATTGACCTAGTTGCTAGTTGACCCTGTTACTGCTTGTGTCTGTTTTTGGCTCACCCTTCCTTTAGAGACTCAAATGCTTCCCAGTGGGCTGCAGGAGGGTACAGGTTGCTCCTTCTTCTTAACTGGAAAAGACAATGATGTTTTATTTCCAAGCACATATCTGAGTTGTGTGTGTGGACAGTACTAAAACTGAGTCTTTTCCACAGCTGGGATTGATTGTATCCACGTCCTTCCTGAAGTTTAATAAGCTCATTTGTATGCTTTGAAATTAATCTGTTCAAGCATATACCAGGGAAATTTGAAGGTAGGCATTGGACAGCAAATGTATATTATTTCTGCAGGTTTTAGCCATATTTAGTGCTTTATAATGTGTGTGGTTTGGATTCTCAACTCCACATACCCTAAATAGGCGTCAAGCTTTGGCTTTATCACCTGATTTGGTAGGAGCACTCTTGGGTGGTCTCGCCCATCAGCTTTTCACTCTCCCGTGCTATGCCTTTTAAGGAAACATTACTTTACTTCATAATTGCACATGTCAGTCTCAGCACCTCTTTTTCTTTCTAGGTGCATCTAGGTGTCAGGTTCCTTTAGGTGGCAAAAGCATGTCCATATTTTAGGACAGACTGTTTTATAAAAAAGTGTCATTTCCTTCTCTTTGCCTGAGTCTTACACGACTGACCATTGTGTGTCTTTTGGTAGATGTGTCTACAAGAGAAGAGGCTTCCTGGTGACATGGCTGCATTTCCCCGAGAAATGTCACATTATATATGTCTCAACTGAGCCTGACATGTCACAAGATATTGAGCATCTTTCAGAAACTCAGGATTGGTTCTGGAGATAAACAGATCTGTTTCTTTACAGCTACTTCATCTGTTCCAGCTCCAAAGACAACAGACCCTCCCTCCGCCCTCCCATCTGTAGGCTCTCTGCCTAGCACCACCTCCTGCACTGTGCTTCTGCCATCCTCATCCCAGCACACTGGCGACCTGTCCAGCAGCCCTTTCTCTCAGCTTAGCAGGTATGGGGAAAATGTGGGTCCAGAGTGAGTAGTATATTGGGGCAAAATCCTCGAGTCCTTATGGAAGGTTGTTCCCATGACCAAAACAAACCTGTGTCTTTAACATGGCATCCTAGACTTTTGCATTAATACCCTAGCTTAGGTTTTGATCAGGTCAGGTCTCAAAATCCTCAACTGTGGAAACCTTGCCTGCCTGTAATGCCGCTGCTGGCACAGGACACTGGGTCTCCTGGGAAGAAGGGTGAAGCCAAGAGTACCCTGGACCTCAGGAAGGCACCCTGAACCTAGTCTCTTCTTGCAGCTGTGGCCCACAGCACTGCGAATGTTAGATTTCTCTGCAGGTATCTGACTTGCACTTGTCATGGCTTCACATATGAAGTTACTGGAACAGGATAGAGGAAAATGGATTTGTTTGTTACCATGTCTTCTGAGTAGAATTCCCCTACATCTCCCTTTAGTTGAGAGCAAAAAATGTTTGATTTGAACTCTGGATTTGCTGGGAATTCAGGCTCTGGTTCTGGCATATGAGGCTGAATATTGGAACTCTTTTCTCTGACTCACAGATTTAATGGGGTCTCCGAGGATGGCCTGTTCTTAGTACAATTATGTTTGTACTTTTTGCAGTCTAGGGAGCAAATGAGTATAGTTTCTGAAGTTGGCTCTGGACGTTTCCCTCCAGGATATACCCAATCTCATGGCGAGTCATTTCTATCCACCAGGACCCTATCACTGGGTTCCAAGGGGATAAGGAATGAGGGTGGGTCTGAAGTTGGGGCTTCCCTAGGGATTAGCCCACCTAGCCAGTTGGCCCTTGCTCGTAGGGAGTAGCTTCTTTGGGCAGACGTGTGGTGCTCTGTTTTGTCTTCTAGCCCACTCTCTAGCCATCAGAGCAGCCTCTCCTCTGCGCACACAGCACTCTCCTCAAGCACATCGCACACGGTAAGTGTTTGCCTGACTCCCTCCTCCATACCCTGGGTAGTAGACTTGGAGCTTAGACACATGTAGCTGGGGTTAAGTTTGTTGATGTTCAATATCTGATAATCTAGAGTTGCTTGGATGAAATGTCTTGATGGAGTCGAAATATCTGAAATATGGAGTTGCTGATTTTCTGGGCACTGTGAAGGACACTTTGCTTTCTAAGTTTGTGACTCCTTGGAAGGACTGCTGCTCCAGATCTAATATGTCCCTGGCAAGGCTACCAGGTGGTGATCTTCCTTCCAAGAATTTGCTGTTTTGGTCTTTCCTCTTGCCTCTTCTCCAGCTCAGAGGCAGAGACTTTGGGAAGGTCAACACTGAAGAAGAAAGTCTGGAGAGTAGAAGGGCAAGAATGGAAGCAAAAACATGCTGTCAAGCAAGCTGGGCTGGGAGAGACTCAAAGTGGTGCCAGCTGGGAAGTGCCCTCAAGAAGTGAGGTTACTGAAGTGTGGCTTAGTGGATTGTGAAGTGAGCCGGGTTTTTAAGTGGTAGGGATCAGCCAAGTGGTGAAGAGCTGAGGAATGAATGGTAGTGAAATGGAGAAGAAGTGAGTTGTAGAAGGGTGCTTAATGAAAAATGGGGAGAGACGTGAGCATAAGATGAGGTAGCTAGAAAGTTGCCTGAGGATAACAAAATGTCCATGCTCCTGGGGGACAGGAGGCTTTAGACAAGGTTGGAGTAGGCAGGTCCACAAGCAGGGAGGAAGGATCTGGGTCCGGATGAATGGGCAGGGCAGGAAGTTGGTGAAATTTGTTTTCTCTGAGGAAGAGATCAGCTCACCTGCAGAGTGATGTGGTGGGAAAGGGGAAGTCTTATCCTCCCACCAGAATCTGGTCAACATTGTGGCTTCCAAACTGTGGTGTTCCAAGAGCAATTTTACGCATAATCTTTTGTCATAAAACACATATACCAGCTGGGCTTGGTGGCTCAGCCTGTAATCCCGCGCCTTTGGGAGGCTGAGGTGAGTGGATTGC